AAGAAGAAGAAGAAGAAGCTATCTGTGGCTACATTTTTGGGCTGGATAAATGTTATACGGTTTTTTAAAAAGAATTATCTTGGAGCCCAATAGAGGGTTTCACCATGGAATTGACTACAAATACAGGAGGGATTTTGAACCTTGCCTAGGAAAGTCTGTGAAGAGAAGGCAGAGTGGCGTATGTTGTGTAGGAAGTGTGATTTCCAATGGAGGAATAATGCCATTTTACAGCACACACAGACTAACAGATTTATCTAAGAAAAGCAAACACATTTTGCCATGTTCAGCCCCCACTTCAATTTTTTATAGGCTCAAGTACCATCTGAAAGGACAAATCACCCAGCAGAATAATAGCAAATACACATTTTTAACTCTTAAAAACCAATCTGATAACTCAATCCTTTCTTATCTCGCTAACCTGGCTGACCAAAGTTACTGGTCTATGAAGAGTGAATGGGAGAGAAAAATAGATTTTAAAAAGGATTTGGGGAATATGTTTCAAAAAATTAAAAGCTAAAAATGGCCCATCCTTTGGGGTTGAGAATTAGTGTTTGAGGTTTTCTACTAAAATATAGGAGGTCATATAAACACCTGGCTTCAGAAACTGGACAGAATGTTTCAACCCTTTGGAATCAGAATCCCCGGGTGGCAAGCAGAGGGTATGCATGGTCAGAAATGCTGACTCTCAGATGCTTGGGAAGCAGAGTGGAGAGTGTTTAAATTAAAAAGAAGGTGCTTCCTCCTCTTTACTGGCCGTTTTCTGGCCTCTTGCTTCGGGCCTGAAAAGACTGAGCTCCGAACACAGCCCTAGTATATTGAAAAATACCAAGGTGACTGCTTGTTTTAATCCTAAAATTTTATAAATACAATTCACAGAAAACAAAACAAAAGATACTTTTGTGGAACTGTCAGAGTACCATAATTTATTGGTTTTGTATTTAAAAAGGATCAGCTAAAGGATGTCTAACTCAGAAACAATGTCCTTAAGCAAACCCAGATTCCAGTATGGATGTTCAGTCTTACACAGCTAGGGCTAAGAACAGATTTGTCACCTACTCTCAAAATCTGACCTATTTGAGCTCACTCAGATGCCCAAGCGTTTCAAACACTACCATATCCTGGGGTTAATCTCATTTTGTGGCTCCATGGCTAATCAGCCTCCTCACCTCACCAGTTCTTCCTCTGATCGGGTCCAACTTTTCCTTCTGGCCCAATTGCAAGTGCCTCTCACACTCCAGGGTCAGCATATCAGCTCTTTTCTGTGCCCTCCCTATCCAGCCCATCCACGCACCACTCAGATTCATCTTCCAAAACTTGGTGTTTTATTTTGTTCTTAAAAAAAAAAAAAAAAGTGGCCTTTTTAAGAAATGCAGTCTTCTGATCAAGAAACTTCGGTTCCCTCCTGCTTTATGGAACCAATCCAAAACTCCTGATTTTGGAACTCACGCTGACCTAGCCCTCTGGTTGCTCTCTCCCCAGAAGGCTGACTGGTCTTGCACAAAGAACCGTGTCTCCCCAGTACTGTTCTGTAGGCTTCCTGCCTCCACTTCTCTGCCCTATTCTCACGACGCTCAGAAAAAGGCTGAGCTGTGTCTCCTTCACAGACCACCTGAAATTGGGGATGCAGCTCAGGGGTAGACAATTTAGCTGCGGACCACCTGAAATCCTCCTCTCCTCCTAAAAGTCTCTGCTGAGGAACTTCAGGCCAAGTTTGTTTTCCTTTCTCTGACTTTTTAGAACCCTTCTTAGTACCTGCTCGTTTATGGATAGTATTGTTTTGTAACTCTTTCTCCCTGCTAACCTTCCAGTCAGAGCCTGGCTCAAAAACAGAAGTTTCTCCTCCCAGGTCCTTGCCAACCCTACCAGTTTACAATGCTACATTGTATTTTCCATGCAGGGGGCTCAGGACACTCGGTAATGAAAGCCTGGTCATGTGACCTGATGACTTGGCTTGACCTTAGCTATTCCTGCATTCCTGAGCAATAAACCTCTGCTGACTTCTGCCCTTGTACACGAAGAGAAAGGGACTGTTCTGTGGTCATTTCTGAAAAGTGTCATTGATGAGTCATTTCCCACCTGGCAAAGATGGGCAGAGTGTATTTCAGAGGATCAATTTAAGGACAGATTTCAAATATGTTACTTTAGGTAAAATTTGGAACTTTAAAATTTCTAGCTCTTGAGGTCTCATGGACTCGTGTTTTTTACTGACTTATGTTAACTAATGATTAATTAGTTGATGGTTTCTCTGATCAAATCATAGAGGCTTTATAACTTGTTATAACACTCAAGTGTTTATGTAACTTCTTTTGTTTCATTTACCTTGGCTTGGTGATGTTAGTATCCAACCTTGCTTATCAGGAAGTTGATATATCTCCTGTTAAACAGCTTTGATTTCTAATTGCCTGATTATAAGTTATGTTCCTTTTGTGTGTGTGGTACTGGGGATTGAACACAGGGCTTTCACAGAGCTAAATTCCCAGCCCTTTTTAACATATACATTTAATTTTCTTTGAGACAGAATTTTGCTAAGTCACTAAGTTGTGTAGGCTGGGCTCAAACTTATGATCCTCCTGCCTCAGCCTCCCAGACGGGGCTGGTGCTATAGGTGTGCACCACCACACCTCACCAGTTATGTCCCATTTTTGAGAAGCAAAGCTCAACTTAGGGCTCATTCTGAGTCTTGCCCCATCCCCCTCCCCAAAACCTCAAGGGGTCAAAGAGAAAACGGAAGGGCACAGCTGCAGGGCTGGTGGCAGAGGTACAGAGCCACCCACGGAGAAGTGTCAGGAGAGAGGGAGGAGTCTCGTGAGAGAGTACGCTGGCTCTGATTCTCTGGCGGGAGGAAGAAGCAGTACAGCCAGGTGTCTGCAGCCCTGAGCGCTGGCCGTGACTCTCGGTTCCACCCCACCCCTCTGTGACCTGGGCTTGACACTTGTTCGTGTCTTTCATTTCCACTCTGTTAAATGGAAATGAAAATAGTACCTAACCACAGCGTGGCCGCGAGGAACCCACCTGTCAGGCGGGAAACACACTGCACCGTCAGTGGGTGGAGAGAGGAGATGTAGGAGATGGGAGCGTTGATAGAGACGGTGCAGTGGGGAGGGTGACTCATGGGACACCTGTCTCCTCCCTGAGCACCAAGTTGGTGAGGGACGGATCCCGGAAAGAGTCATTTGCCACTTTCATGCATTATCCTCCGTTGCCCAGTTAGAAGAGAACTCTGCCAGGCCCCTGTCCTCCCTGTCAAGTTGGATGCTCTCAGGCCTGAGGTGCTCAGGAAGTACAGTCAATAGAGGACAGAGTCCTATACCATGAGGGAGCCCCAGAAATGGTGTGGAGACCAGGGCACCCCCGGGGTGCTCATGTTGGCGTAGCCCTGCAGGCTGAGCCCTCCAGGGTCTTCCTCCTCCTGCACCAGGGAATGTGAGCCATAGGAGGTCAGGAGGATGGTCAACTGCAGCAGCCCGGTATGCAGAGTTCACTGGTTTTGCTGAGGTTTCTCCTTGTTAAAAATAAACTTCCTGCTTAAACACTGTTAGAGTTGGTGCCGCATAACTGGGATCTCCAGGGGAGATTCTGGGACCCTCTCTCCCCTCACTGCCCCCATCCTCGCTTTGGCCACAGAGGTGTGACTTTTCCCTTTGCTCTGCCTCCCATGGTTCATGGTTCAAGCAGCTCCGACCTCCTCGTCCTCCAACTCAGGGATCATGACTCAGGGCTAGGGCAAGAGAAGTCCTGAAGACTCCATTGGTTCAAACTCCAGGGCAGCCCCTATGCAGCGAGAAGATGGGGGCCCATCTGTATCCTAGAACTCACTTCAGTGCTTGTTGGAAAGCCCTTAGTTCCTGCCATAGGTTAATGTATTAACAGAGGCAACTCTTATCCCTGATGGAGTCAGAAATCACATGACTGTGTTTGCCCACCAAGGTGCTCTGGCCACTGTTTTAGCTCTCAGATGGCTTAAAGGATAAGAGCCAAGAGCACTATGGGATGAGTCACTGCCAGCTCCCAAAATGGAGTGGCTAGAATGTATAGGGTGACACAACAGACAGTGTTCGTTTTACACACAGCCCAGAGAGAGTGGCTGGAAGCAGAGCCTTCTGCTCACTTGCTGTGTGACCTGACTTCTCTATGCCTCAGTTTACTCACGTGGAGAGCTGAAGAACCAGGATCTTCTCACTGTGCGTTTCCAGCACTGAGGCACTCACTCCCCAGCTTCCAGGACAAGAGACTCACAAATGGCGACCCCTCCTAGACCTGCCCAGCAGTGGGAAGCTGCCTCATCAAGGTTCTGGGCCCTCCTTGGGGCTGCTGTGCCCAGTGCCTGCTTGATCTGAGTACAAAGACCCCACTCCAGAGCAGCTGTGCAGGGCCAGTTCCATGTAGAACTTCCCAGCCAGTTCTAAGCAGCTCCATTGCCACAGCCTCCCCTCCTCCAGCTGCCCCTCTGCCCTCTCCAGTCTGGAGAGGATCCGGAAGCTCCCTGTACACCCAGCCAGAGTGGTCTCACTGCTGCTTCCGGAGGCACCCAGCCTTCATCACGTAATCAGCAAGGACACAGAAGATCCCCTTCCCTTCTCCACCTCCTGTCTCTTCCCTCTCCTTCTCCTCTCTCTTCTTTTCCTTAT